GGGGGGTGGAATGGCCCAAAGGGCAAAAATGTATCCAAGAAGGGAAGATTTGCGAATTGTGCTAGACCTTCTCACTTCCCTTCTTTCCCCAGCGTACCTAGCACATTTCAAATAATTTCATTCCAGGCAAGTGTGCAGTACCATAGTGTAAATGGGGTCCAGCTAATTGTGACTTTTTTGTGCCATTTTCAAACCGCTTCAATGACATGATGTGAATGTAGGACTCTTATTGACATATGGATTGATGTTTTTTACTGCATTTAGTTTCAATTCTAAAACTACAGTACATTCTGATTCTCATTTCTATTAAAAATTACATTCTAAAACTTTTTTATTTCATTACATTCTAATACTGTTTCAATTCTAAAACTACATTCCGATTAAAATAATCAATTCCGATTCTCCTAAACAAACTTCATTCTCAACTGAATAAAGGTTGTTGCTGATGAAATTACTATGGCTGTCCGGTTACCAGTGGCCTCACAGTATTTCCTTAGACTGCACTACAGATTTCATGAGCTCAGGTCATTGTTGTTGCCAGCTTGTGTCTCATGGAGAATACATTGTAATTAATACATTGAAAAATACATAAGTGTCTACAGGCCTTAAAATATCTTTTCCAGGGCCGTCTGACAAAATGTCCGGTGACGTTGAGTTTGGGTCGGACATATATGTCCGATGACCTTCAGTTCAGTTTCGACTCGGAAATAAGTCTGAATGACACAAATGAATAAACGGCAAATGTTGTAAAGATATTAAATAATTTGTTTCTTCCATACTTATTTCCAAGCCAAAATTAATTTGCTTTCCAGAACAGCAGTGTTAAAAAGACTTCAACAACTTAGGCCTGTTTTCCACTTCACCATTTCGCTCGCCGCCCCGCGCTCGACTATGTTAAAACAACATTTCCAGTTGACCTTTTATACAATAGTACTCTGATTTTCCATTTAACATACAAGCCTGTAGTCCTGGGCTAGGGTACACTTTGATTTACGTCGGACAAAGCTACAGTTAGGTCGGACACCAATACACTCGGGTCGGACAAACAATAAACCTCAGTTTCACTTAGGTCGGACAGAATGTCCGATGGTTTCCTTTCTACGTCGGACAATTTCACGAATGGGTCGGACAATGACCGTGACCGACCGATATTTTAAGGCCTGAGTGTCTAAATAAATTCTTTAATTTCTTGTTTCTTTAATTAAGTTAAAAGAGAAGTTGATGTGAGTAATGAAGATGATCTAAGAATAAAAGAACAAGCTATTTTGGATCTAGGTTCACTATTAGCAAAGAATGGTCGTGCAGCAGGTAAGATCAGTTTGCTTTTACAAATCCTGATGTCTTGAATAGTTGATCAAATCCTGACAAATTAGGCGTAAAAAAAACCCCTGTGGTTCCGGTTCCTGACCGACCCTATTTTTTCTGCTGACCCTATTATTTTTTCAACGCGATTGACCATGCGACCCTATTTTCTCTGGGTGGTTGTAGGCTACTGCCAAAATGGCGTCTGTTGTCACACTAATTATTGAAAAAACCATGAAAAAATATTCAAAAAAAAATTATTCGCGATATTAAACCAGAACCACAGACATTTTTTTTATGCCTTACCATTATCTGTTGCTGGCACTGGCTTTCACTTATGATTGGAATGCAATACATATGTACAGTACTTGTTATTCTATAATATTAAACCTATAAATGTAAATAATTATATATGTACATTCTCATGCAAGATCGGCGAGAGCCAACCACGGGCCGCGGGACAAAATGACGATTGGTGAACACAGGGCCCCTGTCCCTCTCAATGACCTGTATAGTTTTGTCAACTAAGTCATTAGCTTAGGGTTGTGTTGATAATGTTATTGAATTATTGCAGAACTTGAAGGTCTAGTGAAGTTTATCCAACCATTCATGCTGCTAGTTTCCAAAGCAAAGGCTGCTAAGATGGTCCGTGAACTACTGGATCTTTTCCTTGATATGGAAGTATCTACTGGTACAGAGGTATGTATTGACCAAGTCTGCAACAGGAATATATTATCTAGATAGGAATTGACCAATCCGACCAAAAATACTGTAGTTGGTTTTAGATCTCATAGCTACTGTATGTTTTCTAAGGGTATGTAGGTCCCGGGTGTTAGCCAGGATTTCAAAAGTGGCCGTCCAAATAATTTTGTGGGCGTGGCAACATATTTTTGTGTGTGTGGTCACATGTTTTCCGGCATGGCTGCAATTTTCTGTTTGTAGTGTTTTAATTTGTTGAACCTTTTTACTTTTAGTTTTAGATGCCCATTTACATCATTAAACTAGTAAAAGCTTGCACACTACCATAACTGTAACGTGGCGCTCGAGTGATACACTGTAAAGTAATTGCTGTTTTTTAAAACAGCGGTTTCACATTATTCTCCTTGATACTTCATGCGAGAATCATCAAAATGGTTACAAAAACATGGTGCGTTTTACAAAAATATGACACAAAGTATTCAAGAAATATTACAAAGCTTGTAGGTTGCTATTTAAAGAAAATATTCCCTTAGGCCATCCATGGCCGTCCATTAAAATTTAGCTGTCCAAATTCAGAAGTGCCTGTCCATAGGACGGTCGGACAGCCACCTGGCTAACACCCTGGGTAGGTTGGAAGAACATTTTATTTATTAGTAAAGAAGTATTTTATATAAGGTATACATACAAAGGAAAAATTAATAGTAAAATATATTAAACATCATTGGTTTTTACCAAATAATTTATCATTTTGGAAATTTATGAAAATTAAGAGATGGAAAAACGAACTCTTACCATCAATTCAACACGATAAATCTTTAAAAACCATTTAAAACCCATTATTGGAAATGTTTCTCTGATATACAGGGTGTATAAAAAAAACGGAGTCCAACTTTTGTGCTTGATAACTTTCGGACTGCTACTTCTAATAAAACGGTTTTAGGCTTATTTTAAAGCCTGTTCATTTATCTTTCGACCAAATGGTCATCCGTGTCTTTAGTGCAAGTAATAAATGCACAGGAGAAAATTTAGTAAAACCTATCATGTTTAGATGCCGCTTAATTAATTATACAAATTTACTGTGTTATTCCATAGTCGGTTGCAATGTTTGAATTTTTTTGTTCAAACTTTAATGTTCTTGTTGCCACATCGGAAAAACTAGTAAGAACTTGTTAAAAACATTCTAAAAGAGATTAGGTTGTTTTATTTATTTTAAAATCCTATATTATTTCCAGAAATCATCAAAACAACCTTACGTCCATGCATCGTCCGAACGAGCACCATCGAATCGGGCCGTAATGTAAATATAAATTAGCAAGTTGACGGCAAGCTAAAACACGCTTCAGCCGGTATTATAACGCATTTGAAGTCAGCAAGTGAATTTAAAATAGTGTATTGGAAGCCATTATTACTTGATTTTTACAAGCAATTGCCAAAATGCCTCAATTTGCTCGTTTTGTTGACAAAATAAGTTATTTTCATTAAGTACCGGTTTGTTATTGCATCTCAATTTTTTGACTCTCCAATCGCAATCACTTAAAGTATTATTATTCACGAACTTCTGGATTATATTTACGAAACAACCCACTGTTGAAAAGCTGAATGTCTACGCTTTAAAATAAATGTAAACCTGAACGTTTTGCTTTAATATTCGTTTCGA